TGAAGCAATGATGGGTGACTATTGTTGGTTTCTTATTCGAGAAACAAGTTCAAAACATCGAAGACAAAGTCATTCGATTCTCAATCATTTTTAATAAAACCTAAATAAATTTCTTTTGTATCAACTCGGTTTTAAATCCTGATATGCCTTAATCAAATTGATATGTAGAGAAAAGAATCTCCCATGAAAACTTTACATGCGATTTGGATGCTTACAACGACACCTAGAAAAGGAACTCTAAAGCTGTTGTATTTCAGCAACATTTTTAAGTGTTTTACAAAAATGCTCATAACTTCGACAATTTCCAACCGATTGAATCCATTAAAGGCTCATTTTCTCCAGTTTTTAATGGACTTTAAGAATAAATTATGGAATGATTTTTTGAATCTTTTTATCTCATTTAAAATGTTGATTAAAACAAGATTTTTATGGAAAATTCGAAGGAAAAATAAAAAAAAAATGCTGTAAATTTTTAAATTACTTAAGACATAATACTCTAGCGAACGATAGCAAATTTATTTAGCTTCACTTTCATAAAAAAAGATTTAAAATTGGTGCACTAGTTCCAAAGATATTGACATTTTAGTAATCGTACTTTTGTCCAAAATTCAAAAAATCAAAATTATTGTATATCTCACAAATGGCTCTACTTTAATTTTTTTTCTGACCACGGCATTGAATTCAGCGTAGGATTTTGCATTAGAAACGTTGGTCAACCACTAAAGTTCACACTTTTTATGTTGTTTTGTAAACTAGTGTAGTTAACAACATTGTAACGATCACCACGTTTGAAAATGGGTGTCATAAACGATTGCTTCCAAATGCGAGGGAATTTTGCTTGCTGAAGTGAGCGATTGAAGATATCACACAACGGTTGTGCTAAAGCGGCAATACAACGGCATATTATAACTGCAGGCAAACCATCAGGACCAGGGACAAACGAACGTTTCAGTTTATTTGCAGCCAATGAAACTATTTCTGGATTTACAGCAAATAGTCCAAACTCAACAAAATCAGCGGGAACATCACTGGTGGCTTCATCGATTTCCAAGTTTGAGGCGGGATTCGTCGCGAATACGGATGCAAAATGCTTGGCAAACAACTGGCATGACTCTGTAGCTGACGCTGCAGTCGTTTCGTTCAGGTAGACATTCGTTGAGATCACTGCACTTTTCCGTTTGGAGTTAACAAAGCGCCAAAAACCACATGGAATTATTCTCAGACCAATTTGCACACGCAATACGTAAGATTTGTAGAGAGTGGCATTCAAAAACCGGTACGCATTGCTGGCTTGTTGAAAACTTCGTTTGTTGCCAGGCGTTCGTTGACGACGTAGTTTCCGTTGACAAGCATTGCGAGTGCGTTTTAAATCCCGTAAATGGAGAGTGTTCCAGGCAGGCGAAACTGACGGCCGAATTCATGGAACATTCGAAACAAGCCAATCGTTCAAAATGGAACAAAACATTTCCGCCATTTCATCGACATCTATGATAGTAGATATCGCATTCCAGTCAACGTTTAGCAAAAAGTTCGAAAGGGCCGCAAAATCAATCATTCGAAAGTTTAGAGGTCGCTCCTCATGTCTTTCAATAGGTTCGTCACACACCACAAGCGCTGGTAGAGAGATCTCAAGCGGGGGTGGTGAGAGTCAACGGGTAGCAACGGAGCTGAGCAGCTATTCACATTAGCCGCACAATCAGGCAAACAAAAAACCGGATTGCGTACAAGATTCCTTTGGCCAAGGCACAAATAATCCATACTATCCAAAAGAGTGCTACTGGACAGCGTAGGTAATTGGTGGATTTGTTAGTTATTTAGATACTTTTGGACAATGGTTTACATTTACCACTTTTTTAATAGTTTTTTTGTAAACAAATAACAGTCAAAAGCATTGAACGTAGACATATTTCTGATCGATTGGTGATAAAATTATTGAAATTGCTCCAGGGGCAGCTGAGTTATTAACGTTCAAAATCTTTCATAATTTCGTTCCATGTTCCATTTTCGGTTTTCACAAAGTGTACCCCCATATAGATATCACAGACGTATTCTTACGTCAAAAAAGTAGAGTCTGTGCCTCGGGGCACGAACGGAAACTTGACGTAAAGTCTGGAACGCGCAAAAATTGGTCAGCTTCCAATTGGTGTATTTCTGTTAAAAATGCATAAAAAAAACCTGAAATGCTGCATTTGAAAGTTGAGTGTATATACAATGGTGGCTATGATGAGTTTTCACCGTTTGCTCTCCAGTTTTCAAAATGACTTCCAAGCAAGAGGAGCAGCGTGTCAAAATTTTGCTCGCGCAGCAAGAGAATCCGACGTTCTCAAACGCCAAGTTGGCAAAATGGCTGGATGTGGCCAAATTGACCGTGACAAACGTTTTAAAAGTGTTCGGAGAGCGTCTGTTGACCACCAGGAAGACTGGAAGCGGTGACAATCGTAATCCGGACGTGGCAGCGACGACGAAGAAGGTGGCGGTGAAATATAATCGGAATCCTAACCTCCCCATCCGGGAAGTCACTGGCAAGCTCAATGTCTCCCATACTACTGTGCAGCGGGCCAAGAAACAAGCCGGGTTGTCGACATTTAAGAAGGTGAAGGTGGCGAACCGAGATTACAAACAAAACACGTCGGCAAGGCAGCGGTCCCGAAAGCTGTATACGAATCTGCTCACAAAGTTCGACTGTATCTTGTGTAAAGGCGGATTTCAAGCAGCTTCCGGGACAGGAGTTTGATACCGCATCAGGAAAAGGGAAGGTGGCTGAAATTAAAAAAAAAAACATCAAACTATCGAAGTTTCCGAAAAAAATATCTCGTCTGGCAGGCCATATGCACGTGTGGTCTAAAAAGCGGCATTTTCATTACTACGGGAACCATCAATCAAGAGATTTACGTCCACGAGTGCCTGGAAAAGCGGCTGCTACCATTCCTAAAGCAACATAATAGACCTGTGCTGTTCTGGCCGGACTTGGCGAGCTGCCACTATGGGGAAAAGGTAATCGAGTGGTACGATGCGAATAACGTGGTTGTGGTACCCAAAGACCACAACCCTCCCAACAGCCCAGAACTCCGCCCTATCAAACGGTATTGGGCCTTGGTCAAACGGAATCTAAAAAAAAAAAAATAATAATAATAAATCCATGGAAAACGAGCAGCAGTTTAAATCTAACTGGCGTTCGGTGGCGAATAAGTTCGATGAGACCACTGTGTAAAATTTAATGGAAGGGGTAAAGCGAAAGGCACGGCAGTTCGGATTTGGCAAACCAAAAAAATAAACGAACATTTTTTCCTTTAAATATATGAATTGAACTACCAAAAGAAAAATAAGAAGAGTTTTGTGTTACGAATTTTGACTGAAAGAAACGATTTTTGTGTCGACTAATTTTTGCGCATTCCAGTCTTTAGGACCGCATTGGTCGGTGCATTAGTTTTTGGGGTTTGATGCTCCAAATTGTTCAAGATCTATAATTTTAACTCTATATTTTTTTTTGACGTAGAACTACGTCTTTGTCGGCTATACTGGGGTGCAAATCAAAAGATATGTGTGGTGAAGTAGTGTTAGGTTTTGAACGCTTGCAACTTTGTCATTTATTGATGAAATTAAAATCCAAATACGCCAATCGATAGGATATTACTTAACAAATCTGCTAAAATAGATACTTTTCCAATTTTCAATCAAAAAACTTTTGAAAAATGCACAAATGCTATTTTTATCACTGTTTTCATGAACTAAACGTTTTTCCCAAACCCAGTCATCATAAACGAATACCAATTGGTTGCACATCATTCTGCTTGAACCTGAAAAGATATGAAACAGCGCTGCTGTCGTGCCTCTGCTCGACTGTCAAGCTGTTCAGTTTCGTTTTGTGCCGTCCGGTTGCGCCGTGGAAGTGTCGCCACCTTCCCGCGTTCTGGCAAGTTTACTTGAACTTGCAAACACGAAACGAATGGTGCGTAAACGTGCCAATGAGTCAGCAGCGGGCCCATCAAAGAAGGTGCTAATCAAGTCCAGTGCGTCGCAGTCGGAGTACTGCAAGCCAACCAGTATGCAGTACTCCCGGAAGAAAATGGCAATGGTGACGCCGTTCCCATTGCAAGAAGAGAGCGGATTCCCCCGCTTTTCACGCCGATGAAGGATGTTGCCAAGCTGGGTGCCGAACTGACAAAACACAAGCTGCTGCCTCGCTTCAAGCTTTGCAGCATCGGAACCAAAATCATGTGCTACAGCCGGGAGGAGTACAAGGAAGGACAACAACGTGGACTTCTTCACGCATGTTCTGCCATCTAGTAAGCCACTGAAGGTGGTTTTGCGTGGATTACCGTCGTTCGAGGTGACAGCTCGGGGTTTGGGCTCAAGCCTGAGGCAGTGTACCCGATGAACCAGCGCACCAACCACAACACCAGCTTCCGTGATCAGTTGTTCCTAGTGCATTTCATGAAGGGATCTGTACAGACTGGAGAGTAATAACATGTTATAACGGTTGTCAAATAATTGCAACACAGAAACCACCATCAAGAAAGCGCTATAACATGTTATAACTCTGTAGTCTGAACGTACTTAACATAAAAACTGTAGGCTACAGTGCTGACACCACCAATGGTGCTGGCTTCAGCAACCCTCTTTCTTGGCAGAGGATTGAGCACGATGCGGACTGCTCGTGTCATTAACTACACACAAACCACAGTAGCCATCTGCTGTTTCCGGTCACTTTCTGTCATACTGTCTTCGGTTAGGATGCAGCGTAAACCGGTTGTCCCGAAAACTGATTCCGCAATTTTGAAGCCAGTCCAAGAGCGGAAAGCGTCGAACTTATCCAGAGGCAAACCATCGCCATGTTGCAGCCGTAGCCGTATTCCGGTGCGCCCGAAAAGTGCAACTCATTGCTGTGGGGCAACGAATCCACCTGAGCGCCGTCCATGGTCCAGTAGCGTTTTCGTTGATCGGAAAGCTTCCACCGGGCATAGCGAGAAGCATGATCCAAATCCTGTGATTAATCGGAAATTGGGCCATATTCCTTCGTACATAAAGAAGAAGCATTCCCAAGCATCACTTGGGAAGCCCATGAATCAAGGGAAAACTGAAGACCGGCTTGAAGATGAAGCTCCACCGCCACTTGTTCCCAGTGAAATTGGTCATACTGAGAAACGATTGCAAAGGGAAGGCACATTCAACCGAAAGGATGACGACAAAGGAGAAATTGTTCCTACCGATGTTGAGAAGCAGCTAGAAGATACGTTGAGGGACTTGACCGAAGAGAAGCAAATGCTCCTGGCACAGAATCAGTGGCTCCAGGAAGAATCGGCGTCGCGGCTGAAGATAATTGAAACAGAGAGTCAGAGGAATAAGCAGCTGGAGATCACTCTGCAACAGATGACCGAGAAAATGGATCGAATGAGAAGTGAAATCGCTGGCACGGAGAGCATCGCCGAACTACATCGTAACCGAGATGAGCTGAGGCGTCAAGTTGAGAACCTGATTACGGAAAACGCCTCCTTGAGGAAAGAGAACGAAACGTTTCGGAAACAGCAGAGCGAAGATATTCTGTGCTTGGAAGAGGATTTTGAACCGAATCAACCCAACCCGACGATTGAACATCTGGAACGGAATCTGAAGAAGTATCGTGCGGCCCGAAGGAAGTTGAAAGGAGTTATCGAGAAGCTGATTTCCGAAAACCATCGCTTGCGAGAATCTATCGAGAACCACCGGAACGAAGGATCATTTGCCGAGAATGATGCAGTCGGAATGAAGGTTAATCCCCTAGATGGGGATGTCAGTGAAGACGAAGAGATCATCAACAGGACGAATTACTTTGAAGAGCGAAGGAAACAGAAACGATCCCAGCAGAAGTGCATCGATGTCAGGAAGTATGCGTTGTGATTTGAAGTGTTTATTCTTGTTTTTATTTTGATAACCGATTCAATATACTAAATTCGTGTGCATCAGGTTTTTTTCTAGATGTTTTGGGTGCGATTGAAAGCCCAGCACTTCCAGCATGCTTTACTTTATTTTCGCGAAGCTTCATTGTCGTAGGAACGGTGGTACAGCAGGTGCTATGCGCCCTATAGAGCTCCCTTTGCACCCCCTGCGATGGAACCAGATATTTAATTATCAGATATCGTTTCAGAGCGTATTGACTCAGCAGAACTTTTGAGCCTTATTACGGGTGTCACTACACGGTGATAAGGAAGTGATACTCAGAATAAGAGCTGTGATTGCCGTACAAATCAAATGGGAATCACTTCACCGTGACGACAAGTGACAAATTTCCACCGTGAAGTGACATCCGTAAGAAGCCTCAAAGAAAAAAAAAAAAAAAACTACTGCTACTAAATTCCGTAGTTTCCGAGTGGATCTACTTCCTATGGTTTGTTTTTTCCGTCGATCTTGTTTTCCGTGCTGAGCACCAATGCTACCGACGTGCCAGGAAGGCAGCTCCCACACCTGGACCCTACCTATCGACCCATCAACTCATGAACCGGGGACCAACGGCTTTACTTCCCATCCGAAGGAAGGCGTGATCAGAGATGTTATGCCTCAGAACATCCCGGCGGCGCCGACTGGGATTGAACCCAGGCCTGCTGGGGTGAGAGGTAATCACGCTTACCACTACACCACCGGCGCCGTTTAGTGGATCTACTTGGTGACTCCGAAATTTACTTGTTCCATAGCGATGAAAATGTTGAACATACAAAACCAGAATTCCTCCAAATTCTTGAGAAATATTTGTTAGAGTTTAAGGAGTTCTTGCAGATCTAAATGATCCAGGAGATCTTCAGCCCTTGCAGTCGTAGCTCCAAGAGTTCGAAAGGTTTGCTGGAGATTAAGAAGATCATGGGGCACTGAGAGTTGCTGAGTAGGGTAGAGAACTACTTCGGCTTAATCGCCCATTTTTGGCTTATCGAGCAGAAAACTTTAAATAAATCCATGATTTCAGAGTTAACAAGTCAATTATGCGTTTGGTACGATACTTTAGTTCATAGGTTACCGAACGAAGTCAATGAGAACGCGTGATATGAAGGTTTGTACCCATTATTTGCAAAAACAAAAGAAGCGCTCCGACCGAATCAATTTTTATCTTCATCCGATAGGCCGAAGTGAATTCTTTGGCGTTTCAATGGCGTTTTAATCCGTTAGGCCGAGTTTAGAATCCGTAGGCCGAGTTTGGCGTCAAGAAGCAGTGTTAGACTTTTGACAATATCTCAACGATTGGTTTCTCTTTATCAAATCTTACATACGTACCGGAAAGGTAAATAAATTTGGAAGCCATAAGTAATTCTAACATTCCGTTTGGTGCTAAACTGCGCTAGATTAAGAAAGACTAAGTGCGGGTTGTGCTTAATAGGCCGAAAATGGGGTAGTTAACCCTATCAGAATTTTAAGGAGTTTTATATATATATATATATATGTTTCTGGATAAAGTTTCCTAAAATCTGAGAATTTTTGTGGTTCTAAATAATGCAAGGAGTTTTTAAGCTGTGCAGTCGCAGAAATTGTGGTGTTTTAGCAGTATCGATAGCAGTATGAAATTATCAAGATTTCTAAGGTTTAGTACAGCTCCATCCTTTAGTTCTTGCATTTCTTAATGTTCCTGGATTTCAAAAGTTCTTATATTCGTAGAAGTAGGAGCTCTATGGACCTTGGGGCAAGACAGCTTTTGATCATGAGTAAAATCGTAGTTAACTTTGAGTAACTCTGAGTAACACGTGTTGCTCAACATAAAATACACATAGCAACCGACACTGTCAAGCAAAGCAAAGCAACAACATTTTAAACGGTGCGCTTGCAATACTTTACTGGAGAGATCTTTCAGCAATGAAAGGGCAACTGCACGTGTATGAAAGGAACTACAAGCTGTCCCCTCAAAATCGATGGAAGATTTCTATGGTGACATTACGGAACAGTCAGAGCTGTCTGGCTTTACTGCCATGCCGATAACGTTCTATTACAGGGGGATTTTGTACAATCTCTAGGAGAGTTTCATTCAATCGCAAAGGGGATTTATGACAGTCTCAGTAGAGATTCCGAACAAGCCTAGGGGGAATTTTAGACAATCCCAATTCGGTTTCCCAACAATATCAAAGATAACTTCGGAAAATCCAAAGAAGGAATAAGAACTATCCCAGGGAGGATTCCGGACAATCACAGGAAGAATCGCACTTAATATTAAGGGGGATTCATGACTATCCAGGGGGAATTCCAAATAATCCAGTCAATCCAAATGTAGAGTCTGGACAGTCCCAGCATTAAAAAATGTAATGCGATGGTTCCTGCATCCTTTCGACGATCGCTCATTGACAAATTTCATATAAGTTTCAGAATAGAATCAACTATGAAGTTGGCCAGAACTAACCTATTTGGACCTAGAATAAAGAATTAAATAAATGACTGCATTCAACAATGCTCCTTTTGTGTTAAATATCGATAAACACAACAACACCAGACGATGAAAATTCAATCCGTTCCTGTTCAAACTTTTCAACTCGTGTCTATTGATGCCTGCAAAAAGGAGTGTCAGGGAAAACAACGAACCCTTCTGAAGATAGTTGACCCTAACTCTGACATTTTCTAGCTAAATATTCTCAGAGATTTAAACCCCTCTTCCTTAATGAATGCTGGTAAATAAAATGTTGCTTATCACGAAAGAGTTTCCTCATTTCAGGCATGTAGTGCAACAAAATATGAAACCTCTGACCGATTTTGTGAGACTGAGTATTAATTTTCATGAGCTAAATTAATCTTCTGAAAACATTTGACCAAATTCTTACTTCCTTAGTCTTGAAATCACACCAGCTAGTGTTTCCTTCCCGGGCAATTTACCAGAATTATCATTTCCCGATTCCCAGAAAACTAGTTTGGCTTCCCAAGAAGTAGTTTTTTTGTACATGTTAAACATATGTTATATTAAAAATTACCACACAACTTTTGGGGAAAATTGATAGAAATTTCCGGAGAAAGTTTGACGAATCTTTAGTGCGAAGTCAGGAAAGCTTCCTGGCGAAGAATCTTTCAAACGAAATCGGTAGACGCTTCTGACACAATCTGTGGGAAACTCCCGGACGAAGTTAGAAGAGACTTACATTTAAATTTAGGCAGCCGGATGAAACTTTCAGAATAATTCAGGAAAGTTTTGGAAGCCCGGATGAAATGAGAAATAGTTTCCACTTCCTGCGGTTGGACTTTTGATTGTTATCTAGGACTTCTGATTGCAATCTGATACTGTTGGAATGAAAAGATGATGAAACTTCCGTTGAACAATGGACGAAGGTGGAAGATTCTTCCAGGGCAAGTTTAAAAAAAAACTTTCAGGGGATGTTTGAAGAAACTTTCGTGCAAAGTCAGACGAAACCTCCCAGAGCAATCATAAGAATCCTTCCGAAGAAGCTGATCGAAATCTTTAAGGGGAAGTTGGAAGAAACTTCCAGAAATTGTCGGAAAAATCTTCCGGGAGAAATCCTGACGAAGTTCAAGTTTGAATAAATAGCTACCGACAATATTTTCCGATTTTCGGGAAGATTCTTCAGCTATTTTAAGATTCCCGGGTAATTATAAATGGCTGGGATATGGAAACATTAACACCACCATATCACCAAAAACTACAAAGATATTACACTTTAGCCATCCATCATTGAAAGCAAATGAGACCTAAACATCCCTTGGCTTGGACAAGAGCCATCTAACTTGGATCTTTTAATGAATGAAAACTAAACCTTAATATCAAAATATTCTGTCAGACGGGGATTGTTTGAACATTATTTAATGAAAAATATTAGACTACTTTGTTTGTTTTTGATTAAATATGAGTATCTCAAATTTACTCACTGCAAATATATTAACTCTGAGTACAGTGTCTTACCCCTAGCTATGGACCGATCATCGTCTGTACCAAAGCTCGATAATCATCACACCTGATTGGCACGGAACTTTGAGACGATGGCGGAAACGGATCAGCCATCAACGCATCTAAGACAAAATACATTAAAGGAAGAGGTTCTAGGAAAGACAATGTTATGGCTTATATCATGTAGGCTGTCTTGCAATGAGCACTCATACATCTAGTTTTCCCTGGAAATCCTATGTATGAGTGCCCATTTTTTGTCTTTATTAGAGAGATTTTTAGCCGTTGGTTAGTTCATCTCTATAAAATAGGAGACCCCAGAGGGGGGATCTGCCTGTAAATTGTGTTAAAGAGTTGGCTTACAATCTGGTACATCAAAGTTATGTAGGGTTCTGAAAGAGATCGTAGCAGGTTATCCGGCAGAGATGTCCCGTTAGCCAAAAGAAAGTTAAAAGGACCTAAATGTTGTTGTATAGCCCAGCGTCCTTGTGGAAATAACTAACTGTCGCTAAAGTGGAAGGTTCGTCGCCCTAATGCTGTTGGGAAGTGCGTACTGTTCCCGTAGATGTTGGTATTGCGGACACAGGCACAGGATGTGTTCCACCGATGTAGTGGTTCCAGAAACGTAGCACATTCTGTGGAACTGCGTCCCACCAACACTATGTGAGATCCTTGTATGGCCTGTCCTAAGACGAGAAACCACCTTCTGGTCCCGGAATTTCGACATATCCGTCCACTTGCTCGTCGTTCCTTTGATTCTTTGGGATTGGGATTGGCACAAGGGGTAGGTCACTCCGCACACCAATCTTTTGTCAGTGTACCGCATGTGTGCTGATGTTGCCGGTCATAGAGCAAGCTGCGATTGTTTGTAAAATACCCATCCCGGCAACCCGGTATTTTTGACACCTTGAATGTTTTGGTTTGAAATCGCAAGCATAAATCGGATTGAGGATGACGCGGGAAGTGGCAGGAGTGGAAAATGTTGGTGTTTTGTGTTCATAGGATAATAAAAGTCCTGTGTTATAGGGTATTATAATGCCCT